ATTTCCTGTTTTTCAAGCCATTGTTGGCTTCTGCATTTTGTAAAATAACTTATCTCTTGAATCGATCGCTCGAAAAATTCTTGCACGCACTTCCAATGTATAATAACTGTGAGGATATACTGACGATGGTAGCTTGCTGTCGTGTAAATGTCCTTAAAGTAAAAATCAAAATATGCAAAAATTAATACCGCCAGATCGGCCAATGGATTACCAGTGTTATTACTTTAAATAATATGCGGAAATAATATATATAATATATAATTTATGTAAAAATTTATTATATATAAAATAAATTTTGTATGATTTATCTGATGTAACATGTTGCACTCCGATCAGTTGTTTTCGTATTTGCCTTTGAACTCCAATGGCGGACCTGTCAGTATATAATAATATAATAATTATTATAACATTATTAATATCAGCGATGTTAATAATAATAATTTATCAACAGACATTAATTCATACATCTTTGTCATAGGGAAAAGTCACGTGAACAGGACGTGCCAGTCTTGTTTGCAAAGGGAAATTTAGTAGCTTTACTGCCTTGTCGATTTTGATCATTATTGCTTTTAATTCCGAATATTTGCGTCGAAGAGACTTGAAAATGTTCATTTTAGAGATTTTGCATCATAAATTACCGATTACCGTATACGATACTTTTTGTTTAGACCAGAAATGATCGAAAAACAAGAATTTGTTTCTTTTTCTGAATCCCCTCACGACGCGAGCGACATATGGACAATTTATCAATTTTCAAACAAGAACTTATATGTTGTTCTTAACAGATCTAAGCTTTAACTTAAGCGAGTTTCCGTTAAAAGTTCATGCAAATATCCTCTCGCACGAGTACAAATTTACGTTCTTGTATCAGCCATATCAGAGCATTCGCCGTAGGGGAATGCCATTCTTGGCGGGTCAACGATACTTCGTTGAAGAGAACAGTGAGGAGCACAATTTATGTTTCGTCAACAATCTGCGACACGCGTTTGAGAAGAACGCGAAATTCTTGTTGACTCACGATCGATGTGGTCTATGAAGACAAAGTTACTACTGAGTTTCGTAAACTTCTCGTAAGCAGCTACGCGCAAAGCTACGCGCATAGTTTCGTGAATTTGAAGCGATTTTTTTAACGCCGTTAAAAATGTTAAGTTTGCGCGTCAGCCGTTTTTTAAAACATCTCAAGTGCGAGAGATATTGTCTTAAAATTTAAATTTCAACTGATTATTTCATCTTTAATTTAAATGGACATTTAAATTCAATAAAAAAAGGAGACAAGCGGATAGCAGGATAGTATAAGTACTTGGAAGTGTTATCCTCTCGGTATTATATAATAATCACTTGATTCGGCAATGTCACTAATACGAAAGCTTTCCGACTTTAATGACGCTCACGGCAGAGAAAGTGATAAATTATACACGAGGTTTATTAACCCGTTGAAATACGGTAGTTTCACGAGGTTATCTATTAATTTCACAAGAATCTCTTGGTTTGTCATTCTAGACATGCGACATGAATATTTTATTAGAATTCGAGTTTTGAAGGTTTTGTGCTTCAAAGGGTTAAGCCGTTTTCCATTACAGGGACAAAAGCCTTTTAGCCGACGTACGTGATATAAAGGACGAATTCGAGGTTTCAACTCTGTCGCGAATATTCGTCGTGCTTGGAGGCGTTTGCTTCGTGAATATTTTTCGCTTATTAAGAACTCGTCGTGGAGAATAATATGCCCAGTCAATTTGAACTCATTATGAAAAAAACATTAATCCCTGACACGTACATATACATACATAATTAATCGTGTTAATTGTCTAGAAAATTCTGCCCGCGAGTAAGTTACGAGTAGAACTCCCTCGTTCAGCGTGCGCATATAATACTACATACAATTAATTCACAATTAATTAACGCGCGGACGGTGAGACACGTTTGTCAGACCTCTCGAGGGGGGGATAGCGATTTCGTGGTATCGAATCTATGCGACGCACCCCGAGGACTTGCGTCAGCTTCAGGTTCACATAACAAAGCCGAGTACTACAAACGCGTTTCGCAGTCCATCGCGTCGATCAATTACGGCAGGACAGACGGTGAATTTTTGGTGACAAGATTGAATTCATGCTAATGACACGGACACCTGCGGCTAAAACAGGTCAGCTGTAATAACACGTTGGCCTCGAACAAAGTCTGACGCCGCATCCTCACGATAAATTAAGTGATGAGCATATCCCCGTATTATTATATAACCATTTGATGCAAAACAGATCGATATCGCGGCAAAACGAGCTACGTCGATAAGAAAGAGAAGTCAAAGGAACGCATCATCAATTATACGATTTATAGCTACATTTAATGTAATAATCTTTAGGTGTATGGAAGCTAGTCGCAGGGTTTTATTTGCGAGATTAATTTCTTTTTCGGTAAGATAATAATGTTGAGGCAAGAAATTGTTAAATGATATGCAATAATGGAAGGATGGGGAATCATTGATTTAATTTAGAATAAAACAGAGTCGGTCAAACGATAATCGGTTAAACGAAGTTGCCCAACGTACAGGATGTTGCACTTACATACAAGTCAGTACGACGGGTTGCCTCGTCGGCAGGCGCGCTTTCTTTCCTATGAAGTTTACTGCGTTCAATCGCGCGCGTGATAATTTCGCCAAGGTCTACTATGACACGGTACGCGTGCCTGCCGACGAGGCAACCCATCGTGCTGACCTGTATGTAAATGCAACACCCTGTACATTAGGACAGGAGAGATTTTGGCTGGTGCAATATATCGTAATGTATTATTATCCTCCAAAAAGAAATTAATCTCGCAAATAAAATCCCGTGACTAGCTCTTATAGGCTTAAAAAATATTAAATTTAATGTAGTTATACATTTACAGAGCTATATTTCTCTATTGTTTAGTATACGCGATTTCTGTTATGTTTCCAGAGGGAATGATTTTTCTTTTAATTAGTAACAATGAAATGGTACATATGAGCCGCACTGCGAGGTTTTCCGAAATCAGTCGTCTTCGGCGACGAGCGACGGGATATTTTTGAACGTTTCGAGTGTTTGAATCGCTGCGAGAGTTTATTACGAAATCCTCTTGTCGCGATCTTGCATTAATACTGTCTCCAATTGCAATCTGATGTGCTCAAATGAGATATTCTCTGCGTCGAAAACTATCGCAAAGCGCGTCACGGCTTCGATAAAGGGCGATACAAGATCCAGCGTTATCAGTGTCCTTTTGGCTGCCACAATCGCTCTCCGAGAAGGATCATACGGTCATACAAACACCCGATCTCCATTTGAAAACTTAGAATTAACCGAAAATCGAATTTCGGCTGTCACACTCTCATGCAATTTTGATACGAAGTTCCCAAACGCAGGGCCATTTTTACACCAAACATTCAGGCTTGCCTTCTTCGCTTCTGTAAACAACCGCGCAAAATTTCATTCCGAATTCCATCATAAATTTGATTTGAACTCGCCGCACCTAGAACGCCTCGGCAAATTGATCCTGGGAGACGCGAGACGTCAGCAATAATAATTCACCTCGCAGTCGAGTTGCACAAATCCAAGCTCAGTTGCGTGGAAACCGCGCGATCGGCGGAACTGACGGCGGCGAAAGCTCGTTGTCAACAAAATGAGAAGTTTATTACAATTTAATTGCTCGAACAGAGGGGAAATATCAAAGCGTGTTCTCTCGTATAATAGAAAAAAACGAGCCATGCGCTCTTGCCTCATCCAATATCCAATAAACTCGGACACTCGAACGTAATTAAACGCAAACGCGTCGCCGCGGACGCAGGTATCATACATACGAGGCAATATCGAGACGAATCAACACGTCCGAGAATTGCTAAAAAAAGAACGAAGCTTTTTCTGTTTTTCCATTATAATTCACCGATCGGACGGGGAGCCCACATAAAAGGCCAACTTCGACAGCAATAAATGCCCGCGCACAATAACAGATTACTGAAATAAAAGAACGATTGGCGACATATATCTGCTCTTTGATATTACATTATATGGCAGAATCGTGAAATACTTCTCTTGCAGCGTTTCCATATCGCAATCAAAGTTCAAATATCACGCGAATTACTTCAATTACAATTTTCATAAATTCTCATGCCGCGAGCTTCGCCTCCCGCGGCTATAAGTGGTTATTAGTTCTCTTTATAAGCGTATATCCATTATGTATATGCCAATCCTTTTTATACATATTCTCTACCTCTGCAAAAATTTTTTTACCGTGGGAGATACCGTCTGTAAAATATGAGAAACCTGGAAAGGAACGGGCGGAAATGAAAAGAGGAATAAGAGAGAGAGAGAGAGAGAGAGAGAGAGAGAGAGAGAGAGAGAGGGAGGAAAAGAGAGAGAGATCGTTAGAAGTTAAGTTAGAAGGAAAATCGTGAGAATTATTCAATCATATTTTTGCAGTTAAATACACACAAAAATAGAGTTGCAATTGCAAGTGAGACAAGAAGTCCGCTAGAATTATCAATATAGATTAAAAAGATTTGCAACGTGTACTGTTGGTAAAGTTTTAATTTCGACAGTTATTACGTGGGAAAACAAACAGCTGCGAATGTCGTGATTTATTCCACTCATCGTTTCATGCGCAGTGGACAGTAACGATTGTTTGAACGGAATCTATATGGCGTTTAACACTAAAAGATTAGAAGTTCATGTAGCGAATATAGCCAAATATCGCGTCGTGTTCGAATGCAAATACGACTAACACTTGATTTTTTCGGTAGCGAATGGAAATATTCGAGGCTTCTCTGAGCAGGTCGAGTAGAAGATCACACGGGGAAAAGAGATATGGTGCAAATAATCAGAAATATTTAGTTGCGAGCAGCATAGTTGCATCACCATAGTCATCTTCGTGTAATCCCTTAGGAAAAATTACTTTAAGTTGTTCAAATTAACTTAAAGTTGCTTAAAATTACTTAAAGTTATTTATAGTTAACTATAAATTTATTTCTTATGCATTTTTGTTGTACTTGTTGATGATAGGAGTGAGAACATTAAAAAGCTATAAATTGCCCGTGAAAAGTGGATCTCAAAGTGGACCAAAATGAAAAAATGTGACCTAAATATTTTTTGTACTTCTACATTTGTGCCAGATTAGAAAGAAATCGGAGTATACCTTTTGAGTAAGTTTATTTATCAGTTATTTTGTCACATTGACTACGTCAATATAGTTGCGCGAATTCGAAATTTGTGAATCCTTTTGACCTCGATATTCCATTTAAAACTCATTTCGATATTCTGAAGTCTATATCAACCTGTTTCGATTCTATTTAATCTACTTGTTTTGACGAGAAATCCTCTTTAGAACCTATAAATAGTATTTTATACGTTTCATTCACAAGAGGCGCTGAGTAGGATCTCAGTTTCTGTGTGTGTTACACATATTGCTCTTTACACATACATTAGAATACACAGATGTTAGAAAGGTCGAAAGGTTAAAAGGTCGTAGGACTAAAATTTCAACTCGAATATGACGACTAGAAATTTCGACCAGAGATCGTTTGGATTGGCATTTACCATGAATACACTCTGATTGGACCAAACAAATATGTCGCTGTTATAACGTCAATAACTCAGCAATTGTTCTGTAGTTGGGACAACCACATAATTTGTTGTTCCGTAGTTTACTGTCGAGTTTAATTGGCACCAATTAGACTTATGCACGAATCAACCAAACCGTTTTCCCCGTGTACTCTGACAGATGCTCGAGCAATCGTTGTTCGCGTTTTTCGCGTACGATCGAAGAGCAAGAGAGCCAAACAAAACAATTGCAGGATACTCGCTTGTACTTCTGACGACACCGCGCAAATTACGAGGTGATTTCCATAATTGCCTTTATGTCGCGTAACGAGTGGTCGTGCTCGTTTGCGCTCGATAAATCTTTCATTACCTTAACAACGCGCGCCACGATGCGACTTTTGCAAAGCTGCTTTTGCCCAAGGGTACTTGAATTTTTCTTCTACTTATTTTTGAATGCGCCTCACAGTCCCGCGATACCGTACGCGATACGTCACGTTTTCTCTCCTCACCATAGCAACCGTGAAAATTCCTCTTTCAACTAGGATTCTATCGGTCTTCGCTGCGGAGTTACCGCCTCGGGCGCTGCGTCTCTATTCACCAAACAAAGGATGTGTATTGAGAGTGGACGTCAAGTACAGGAAACAGTAACCCTTATAAAGTTGAAGTAACTTTTGCCGGATCAAACGGTCGATCGACGCTAGATTATAACTGCCGATTCTTCCCTAATCCTTTCGTGCGAAAGGAAAGGAAGGGTTACTGCTCGCGTTACGCGCACACGAAGTCAAAGATCAAACAGCACCGAGTGTCAAACGCACTTGCTTATTCAGCGATTTCAGAATATCGAAACTACAGACGAGATAATTCCGTTGGCTTGTACAAAAATTCCAATTTTCCGCGTAAGATTTTTCCAGGTTTCTCATCCGCATAATATTATCTCCGTATTGAAACGTTTCACGGTAAGCGGAAAATAAATTGGTGCTCGCCGGTGTTTGTTTTCCCAGAGTGCGTTGATTTTGAATCTTTCCGTTTTCCGGAAAATCGTTTTAAAATTAAGCGCGTCGGAAATAGACCTTGTGAAATTAAATTTGTGCAATTAAGGCCTCTATTCCGCGCGTTCGTGCAAATTGTGCTAATAATGTGCGCTTTGAAGATATGAAATTGGAGAGAATTTTTTGTTGAGTACACACCATTGATCGCGCGGACATAATCCTACCAAAGCGCGCCTGGCCTGCCACCCGTGTGGCTTTCCCGATGGATTTCACTATGCCGAGTACATCAGTGGGCAATCAAGAGGGATTTAAAATTCGTGGCTCCACCAATGTGCTTTAGTTTCACTTGTGTTCCGTCCATGCCTCTATAGAAACGATCATTCGCTCGTATTCACGTAAAATTCTTGATTTTAGCACACTTAAACTGACCAGCTCGAATCTTTCCGCGGACTTGCATAACGAGTCACATTTTTCCACAAGCCACACGCAACATACACGGAGAGAGAATATTTAATATTTTTTTTCGGTTAGATTAGACTATCAGAAACGCAGCAAATCCTTTAATAGTAAATTTCAATTTCCGCCTAAAAATCAATAGCTTGTATAAAACTGAATAAAACTGAAGAATAAGAAGTTACTGCAGAATATCTCGATCTACTACATCGGTTAAAAAATTCGGCAACAATTCTTACTATAAATTACTTTCTGTGCAAAACAATCGTCCGAAGAGTTAAAAGTCGTAGAAATTTGTTCTGCTCGTCAATTTCTTTCATATATCCGCGTTAATCCAAATTATGCTTTGAAAAGCGGTGCTCATTAAAAAAGAAATTCGTTTATTCGTCAGCCTTTATTACATATCAACCAGAGATTTGCGTTTCCTCGCGATCTTAAAATTTGGTATTCCGATTTTATTTCGATACTAGAGATGGAGTCGCGGGTCTCAAATGTCCTGATTGTCTCTCGGTGCGACGAAAATCGTCGCGTAGCTGGCCGGCCAGACGTGACCCGGTATGTTTACATCGTAATTGTGCGACCAACAGTATATATTCAATAAAAATTTCCTCCGACTCTGCCCGTGGGATTTATACGCGACGTACACCGAGCTTTTGTTAACATTGATTTACATTACCACACAGTGCGAGCGTGCGCGCGTGAGTATGCATATGAAACGTAGATATGGCAAGCGCAAGTATGCGCAAATACGGCGGGGCAATGAATGCGAGCGCATTCTCGCAAATTATACCATAAACTCCTCTCACGTAGCGTAGATATTATACAAAAGGCGGACCGTATGGGTTACGGCGTTCCGTGCGAGGCGCCACGGCGCTAGACGAGGGTGTAGCGTACAACAATTATTAGTGACGCTTCGCTTGGTTGCCCCCAAACTTCGCCCTCTTCATACCCCTCTTTCTACACCCTCTCGATAGGACTAAAGTTACTCGTGTTCTTGGCGCGCGACATCGCCGGTGACTGGCGTAATGGCAAATTAATCGGCTAAGTCAAGCGCTTTGATCGATGTGAATAGCCTGTCCTTTATGCGGGCACATGGTGCGGCTTATGTATGCAATTATACAGATTAGATCGCTGCCATTGCTCATTAAGGCAGGATAACGTGGTGCCGGAAACGCATAATACGCTTTACGCACTTCTCCTTATTGTTCAGAGGGGTATCAGGTTAGTATTTCGGATAATTACGTGTCGACGCATAAATCGTTACACGCGCTCGTGCATACGCCGAGAGGAAAGGACGACGAGCCCGACGAACGTTCCAGTCTCGCGTGGGAGGCGTAAAAATGCATAGCGCAAACAACCCGTCCCCTGGTCGGGCGCTGAGTGAAGCTATTTGTAAGGCTATTTGTATTTACGGAGGGAATTGGAAATCGTTTGCTCGAACGATAAATACGCAATAACGAGCGACTGTGCGTTCTATTCGCTCTTGTTTCCACGTCGATCCCACATCGGATGTTATGAGAAAGTCTCGTGAACAGTAGTCGTAATAAAAATAAAATAAAATGATAGAGAGAGAGAGAGAGAGAGAGAGAGAGAGAGAGAGAGGGATGCGCGTCTACGAATTTTCCGTTTAAATTTCCCTTCGCCCGTGCTTCTAATTTCGCAGCGGATTTTTGTCAATGTCGTTAACATGCAGTTGTTAATAACTTCATCTGAAATATATCGCAAGTCGATTTTTACTTTGATCATACGGATCCTTTGTAGATTCGATGCCACCCGTCCTTGGTCATTTGCCGTTTTGTTCTACAAAGAGGCGCGCTCTGATACCTGATTGTTTTAAAGTTCATCGACCGCGCTTTTGCTTCGCTTCCAGATTCCAGTAAAGGCGAGGCAGCATAAACAGTCGACATCACGTACACACAAACACCTATTACAATTCCAATTACAATTTCTATCTTCTCGGTTCCTTCGTGTTTTGAAAATATGAACGACAGGAGGCAGAGCGTCGGGAATGGTATTGTTGTTTGAGAAACATTTTCACTCGTGTGTACCGCGCGAGAGAGCGCAGAACGGATCGGGCTTTCGCAATGCCGATATTACGCCGTAGGAAAGTTAGGATATTTCAGCCATTGCCTTCTGGCGTATCGGTGGTACGAACGATTCACGGGACGTAGAGCGCATCAATATCTGGAATTCATACTACTAGAGAACGTTTACCTCTGCTCTGTGAAATCTGATTCGAATTACATAGCAAGCATGGGCGTCGGTGTGGTAAAATGAGAAGCGGGGGTTGACCGGCACCATTTGAGTGCCGTGGAGAGCGAGCACGGTCCTTCATTTCGTGGGTGGGAAAAGCGTGGAGAGAACGTTGTCGCGCGCGTTTCTCATGTATCGTGATACCTGTTCGTCACTATAGAGGCCGACGGGGAATTTGTTTCAAAGAGCTGATAAAATACTTTACGCCAACCTTTAATTCTATATCAGTCTCGATAAAATTGCCACGAGAACAATAAGATTACGAACGTTGTTTGCTCGCGAAGGACACTCGAGTGAAGCGGCATTCCTATGCGCGAGCACATCGTGAAAAACGTCCGGTTACCGTCCATCGCGGGAAATGATGCGGAATTAGCGAAAAGCGACTGGTAAACAGCAATAGCACGCTATTACCGGAAAGATTTAATTTGCCCTGCAATGCATCATAAGCCGTCTGCTGGTGCTGGTTAATCTGCGAGAGCGCCGAGCACGTACTTCATTATCGCTAATGGCACACTATTCTTGAGAATATAATTTGCATCGCTTCATACGCAACTGATTCGATCCCGATGATGCGATGGAAAATGCGTCGCTGCGCTTTCATCATATATTCTCCCCCTAAGTAGAATTTTTAACGATCGTTTTCGCAATTTAGTGCATCATGCGCGCGCTGTGCAAGCTGTGTCACGCCACGTTTATGCGCTTCGTGTATTAGCTTTTGCGCGAAAATAATATATGTAGTAAAAATGATCTGAAAATAATATTTCTCTTTTCCTCCGTAAGGCTGGACCGAATACTGAGACTGTACCATAAATTATTACAGAGGTAGCACATATCTCACGGTCTTTTTGATATGCGATATAAGAAACGTCCAAATGATTACAAGAATTTCTCAGTAACAAGTCAAACGTGAGACTTTTAATACAAATATATTGTATATAATTTCAATCGTATTCTCTTAAAATGAATCAGTGAAACATCATTGAAAGCAGTAAATATACACTGATTTGCAGCTATAAGTACAGCACTGAAACGGCTCAGTGTTATACTTATAACTGATATTAATGACTATTCACGAATTCACTTTAAGAGAATAATGCACAATTTCAATAATAGATATATAATTCTGCGCGGCAAAATCGCACGAAATTTTGTGTTATATTTACCGCAACATTTCCTCCGGGCGCACAGCTTGTACCGAGCTATCAAATTTATCGTGAAAAATCCCCCGAACCAGGAAGCAACGCTAGGCATCGCTTTTTTCATCGAACGTTCATATATAGCGCCAAATATCGAACGCGTATACGAGGCTTACCCCTTAGAGTACCGTAGGCGTACATATTTGATCGACGAGAACCGTCGCTGTCGCCCACGGGCGTATAAAATGGAAACGATCAGACGAGCATCCAGGCGTACGGAACGCTCCGCACTGCTCCACTAGTATTCTAAGGGTAAACGGCCCTGAATATCCCCGGTGATGCCTACATCACTTGCCGAACGGAATCAACGCCACCCCGCGAGAGCATCGTGTCTTGTTGCCAATTGCCGTGTTAGATTAATTTTGAATCACGTAATTACTACGTTGGCGACGGTTTGCCTCCGACAAATAACAACATGTAGTGTTGCACTCTGCGTTATTAGCGAAACGAACATTGCCTTGATTAATACGTTCGCTCGTTAGTTCCTATCGTAATTGGCAGATACTGCCGTCAATTAGCAGACTATCGAATGGCAAAAGCTGGCAAAAGCGCGACAGGCTATCTCGAGTGGAAAAACGAAACGGCGCATTTTCCTCTCTTCTTCGGACGCTTCGCGACTCCCGAGAATCAAAGCGGCAAAGGATCAACCGATGAAACGTCAATTTCGTTCCTTTGGTTTGCACACAACGTTAGCAATTACATCCCGCTTCTTCAGCCTGAAGCGCGGGGTCCGCAGCATACGCAGAATAAAGCACAAAGCGAATTAATAGGTACAAAGGCACACTAATGCTGGATATTGTCCGATCTCGCATGCATGGAATGCATTTCCAACCGGTCGGAAATTTCGTTGGAAAACGTAACCATGTCAAATTAGTCGGGTTACGCGCTTGAAAGCACCGCGACTCACGTTGCTTACGTCTCCGCCGCGCGAGGTGCATACTAAATAAGAAATATACCGTGCGGATTTTTTTCACACACTGTGTTCGCGCAGCATCAGACCGAGCGTGTAAAAAAGCCGCGAATCAGACAATCCCTGCAAGTTACTTCGCGTTATAAGTTATTTCATTACATATTTACCACGCACCGGCACACGCGGAGAGTGTCGAGCCAACATATATACATACGCGCGCTCCTCGCTCCCGCACATCCGTGAAAGATTACAACCCCATGTATACCGGGTCCCGCTCTGGCGCGCTCGCGCGCGTTAAATCCGCCGCTTTGGTGTTTAATTCCGTTCATTGTGGTGTACGTGAAACGACGTTGCGTATGAAACATTTAAATGCACACTTTGGCGAATTTATTGCACACGACGGCTCTCCCGTATCATCCAACGCGGTGAAATAATAAAAAAGGCTAAAAAATCAAACGCCAGCTCATGTAGCCCGACTGCCGCACGTAAAAGTGCGCCTCGGCTCGGGTAACCCGATGGTGAACGCGTCAGTTGATGCCTTGATAAAAAAGGCTGGACATATTTTGTTTGATTTTGTTTCGTTCTTTTTACATGTATAAAGCACAAAGGGAGAGACGCCGATAGGGCGACCAGGAATTTGTGAATTTTTCGTTCGAGTGTCATACGCGTTCGGGCTCGCAACACGCATGTTTCCAACGTATCGAAGGGGAAAGAGGGAGGGGGAGAGAGAGGGAAAAACGGGGAGAAAGAGAAGGCAGCAAAAGAGATTGCGAGAAAAAAATATGATAACTTGACATCACGATCCGATATTTCGCATTGTGCAGTCGATGTCGATCCTCCAGGGCCTATGAATCCTATTATAAACTTTACGTTTCTCAATTGAGCAAAAGTTATAATTTTTCCGAACTCTTTGATGTCAACCGCAATGCACGAGGGAGTTCTCCGTAGATATATGGCAGAAGTCGGAAAGTCCATGAAAAAAAGATGAAATCCTCGTTAACATTAATCTCATTCTTTATTAACAGAACAATAATAATCTTTTGATGTTTAAAGAAATAAAAATACAAGATGAATAAGATTACAATAAAAGCAAAAAAAGAAAAAAAAAACTATAAAAAAACTATAAAAAACTAAAAAAATAAAAACTAAAAAACAAACAGGTAAATATACTTAGGAGACTCCGATGACCTTGTCTATTATATATATTATCAAGGACACCCTTATGAGTAATATTCAAGAGGTTTTAACAGTCGTTCATTGTTTATTAGAAAGTTATTAACAAAAGAATTTTTATAAATAGAACGTAATTTTTCGACACCGTGTACATATTTAAAGAGTCAACATGTGCTAAACACATGCTATACACATGCTATATACAAATATATTTACTACATTTCAAACCTTATTTCTCTGTTTTGATTTCTTCGTTTAAATATATAAGATATTCTTACTTAGAATGCTTTGCTCAGTGTTATTATTCTTAGTCACTGTCTTGTGGTGTAGCCAGTCAATTACTTGGATTTCAACAGAGTTTCGTGGACTTCGAAAATGTATTTACACGAATTTATTCATATGACTTACAATTTCGAATCTTTGTGGAATTCCTTGTATGAAAAAAAGTCGTTTGCAATAAAATAATGTGTCCTAGGTGTCAGAATATATTAAGAATAGTTAAGACTTGTGAAAATCATGTTTTACACTGTACGAAGAAATATTACAAAGTCAGAGGTCAAAAGCGGCAGAGAGTAACGTGCAAAGAAGGCAGCAAAAGAGATAGCGAGAAAAAATGATAACTTGACATCGCGATCCGATATTTCGCATTGTGCAGTCGATATCGATCTTCCACGTGTGTGTGTACCCTATTATAAACTTTACTTTCTCGATCGAGCAAAAGTAGTAATTTTTCCGAACTCTTTGTCGTCAACCGCAATGCACGAGAGAGTTCTCCGTAGATATATGGCAGAAGTCGGAAAGTCCATGAAAGAAAGATAAAATCCTTGTTCTCATTCCTTATTAACAAAATAATAATAACCCCTGATATTACAAAAGTTACAAAAAAAAAACAAAAATAGAAAAAGATGAACAAGATTTCAGTAAAAACAAAAAAAGAAAAAAACTATTAAAAACAATTGCATTATTGCAATTTTAAAATTAGTATTCTATGGAATATGGTTTGAACGAATGCATATGGATCTGACTAAAATTTTCTGTTTTATCAGATATTTTCTAATAATGCAGCACCACGGCGCGCGCGGACATAAAATCTTAATGAATGAATTGCAAATAAATGGTCAGTATCGATTGGACAAATTTTTGTCGACAAGTGAGTAATATTATATTGCTTATGTTACTTATTTACACTTTTATAAATTAATATTGTATTAATTCGCTAAATCATTTTTAGTTAATTCAACAATAGATTGTAAACGAACAAAAGCCAATTGGCGGAGAAAGCAAAATTGTCGAATTAGATGAAGCAAAAACAGGCAAAAGAAAATATAATACCGGACACATAATTAGAAGTCAATGAGTATTCCGTACTGAACGCGATACGAAGAAAGTTTTTGTTTTGCTTGTGCCAAATCGATGTGTTGACATTCTTTTATCTATTGTTAAAAGATATGTAGCACCTGTTATACATACAAACAAGTGGCAGGCGTATGATATTTTACGCAATTGTGAAAATTACACACATTATACAATCAGTTATACGATCAATTTCGTTAATCCAGAAAGGGGTTGAGTTAGTTTTTTGGGGAGGAGATGCAGGGGGAGGGATTATGCCATCAATGCGCATATATGTATATTGTTTATCTATTTCAACGTACAGTGTATATAAAAATTATATTCAATTGATAAAAATTTGATATTAATAACTTTTTAATAAACAATTAGCGACGACTAAAACCTTTTAAATATTACTCAGGAGGATGTTCTTGATAATATATGCAACAGGCAAGGTCATCGGAGGTGGGTCCCCTAAACAGCACATTTACCAAATAAAAAACAAAAAAAACTATAAAAAAAAACAAATGATCATCATATGCTTTGTTTGGCCTCCGGATGGTGCCGCATCCTTCATAGATTTGTTTACAACGGCATCACGGCCGAAAGCCACATCAAGTACCACCACAGCGCGGAAATCTGAAACATCGAGTCATCGATATTATCAACAATGCTGTCAATATGCCGAGGCCAAGTTTTCATTTCGACGTATTTCGCATAAGAGCTGCACAGCGACATCAAAAAGTATATAATTTTATTAAAATTATGACCCCCCCCCTCCTTGAGTAGGGCTGAGAAATCTTGCCCCGAACGCACTAACGTTTTTCCTCTTCCACTTCGCACACAGAGACGCTTTGTCTGTCATGTGTCTACGCGCCGGCCTAGTTGATGCGCCGAGTGAGAGAAAGAATATCATTCCGTCTTTCTCGCTCCGACTCCGCAGCACGCAATCAAGCTTGTTTAATTCTTTCTCCGTGCATCTGAGTCATGGTCGCGAGTATGATCACTATATATATATATATAC